TATGTCAGTGCTCTATCTAGGATGAGCAGACATTTGCTTACATCTCCCTAGGAAAAATAATGCAATAATCAGTATTTGTTGAATGAATATTTCAATGAGAAATGTCAAGTCCTAAGAAGGAAATAAAATAGTGCACAAGGACAATGAGCCTCTTTAGATAGAATGGGCAGGGAGGTGACATTTGAGTCAAGCTCTGAAGTATGAAGAAAGAAAGAAATCATCTAAAGAGCTGCAGAGTTGGGGGTATAGCTCAGTGCTCAGTGGCTAGAGGGCTGATGTAGGATGCATAAAGTCCTTGGTTTGATTCCTAGCACCTCATAAACTAGGGGTGGTGGCACACACCTGCAATTCCAACACTCAGGAGGTGGAGGTAAGTAGATCAGAGTTTGGGATCACCCTTAGGTACATGGTAAATTTAAGTCTGAGGCCAGCCTGGGCTACATGACTGGGGGGAGAGGGAGTTAGAGAGAGAGAGAGAGAGAGAGAGAGAGAGAGAGAGAGAGAGAGACCCCAATATAGGAATGAACCTGGTCTGTTGGAGGAGCAGTGTGCTCAAGATACTGAGTCTGGATCATGTCTTGCTGGTCCTGAGCCTGAACTTTGGATCATATCCCGGGGTTTTAAACAAAGAAGTCAAGCCATCAGATTAATATTTCAGATGGTCCCTCCGAAGCTCAAGAATATTCTGTAAGGAAGTAACAGTGACAGCAAGGAATAGTAATTCATGCAGTGTCCAAGGCTGGAGTGGGTAGGGCTTGCCTGGGATGGGGCAGCAGGAGGCAGAGGAATGGGCAGGTCAGAACTGTTCAGAATAGAAAGTGAGGTGCAAGGAACTTGCTTCTCTCTGAAAGATCTGGATAATGCAAAAACCCCATGTCCAGAAAGACTACAACCCTAGCATCTGAAAGGCTTCTTATTTAGCATGGTAGCAAAAATGGAAAAAGGAAATGATGAAGAAAAACCAGAGGCAGAGAATTCTTTGGATTTTTATACTTGATCTTAGCCAAAACGCTGAGAAGCGATGAATTCTTTGGATTTTTTTTTGAGCATTAATCAACCCGAATTTCTGGAAACACATGTATATCTTATTCCTGCTGCATCTCAGCTTCTCTGGGTAGTGAATTCTGATGAAAACGAGGAAGGAGATAAAGAGTGGCATTGACTGCAAGGGGAAAAAAAATGGAAAAAGAGCCAAACAAACTTCCTCTTTGGGCTGCTGAGAAAAACTGTCTGGCTACAGGCAGAGACTAAGCCTCCTTAGAAGGCCATGTATGTGAACGCTAGGAACAAAGATGAGTGCTTTCCTCATCAAGTAGCCTAAGTAGATGCTTGGATACTGTCTGTGAGCTGCAAGAGTCAGGTGTTCAAGCAGTTCATCAGGGAGCCCAAGGTAGGAACTCAGGACAGGAACCTGGAAGCAGGAGCTGGAGCACAGGCCATGGAGGAACACTGCTTACTGGCTTGCTTCCCTGGCCCCTGCTCAGCTTGCTCTCTTATCCAACACAGGCCCACCTGCCCAGGGTGGCACTACCCACAGTGGGCTGGGTCCTCCCACATCACTCAATATCAAGAAAATGCCCCACAGACATGGCCACAGGCCAGTCCAATGGAGGCGATTCCCCAATTGAGGCTCCCTCAACCCAAGTGTGTCAAGTTGACACTAAAGCTATCCAGCATATCTTCCTAATGAAGTAATCCTATACCAAATCAGGGCTGAAGATCAACCTGGAAGAAATTGCATTCCATATTGCTGGGGGAGAAACAACTATTTCTACCTCTTTGAAACTGGAAAACTATATAAACTCCTCAGCTCTGTCTTAATGGTTCTAGTGATTTTCTTGTTTCTTTTTTTAAAAAATATTTTATTTGCTGGGCATGGTAGCGCACGCCTTTAATCCCAGCACTCGGGAGGCAGAGGCAGGTGGATCTCTGTGAGTTCGAGGCCAGCCTGGTCTCCATAGTGAATCCAGGCCAGCTGGGGCTTTAAGGGAGACCTTGTCCCAAAAAAACCAAAAAAAAAAAAAAAATTAAAAGAAACATCAAACTGGGCATGGTGGTGCATAACTTTAATCCCAGCACTCAGGAGGCAGAGGCAGGCAGATTCCTGTGAGACTGAGGCCAGCCTGGTCAACACAGTGAATTCCAGGTTGTCTGGGGCTCCAGAGAGACTGTCTCAAAAAAAAAACAAAAAACAAAAAAAAAAACAAAACAAACAAAAACCATCTAGGTGTAGGGCATGTCTTTGGTGTGTTTGTGAAGTCATTTCCAGAGAGGGTTATAGCTGAGTAGGGAAGGCTGCTATGAATCTGCACACATCGTTGTCCCTACTCCCTGTAAGTGATAGGCAAAGTAGCCGATGGATGAATTGGGTTGATGGGGAGAAAGCACCAGGACACAGATAAAACGCCAGTGGAATAGTTTATTAGCAAAGGAACACATAGGACAGATTACCTTCTGGGCAGGGAAAAATGTCTGCCCCAGGTCGTGAGCTGGGGTCTTTTACAGGGGGAGGCATCTGGGGGGTGCAGAAGGTGGGAATATATACATATACATACATATATATTTTTTTAAAGTTGGGGGGCAGAGTGGGAGAGCCGGACTGTTAAAACCTGCCCTCTTTAGAAATCAAAGGGGAAGCCTGCTGTGTTGGCCAAACCAAACAGTGGAGAAAAGTCTGCTTCTCTTGACTTCAAAGACCAGGGTGCTTATCAACTTGGTTCCCTTTTCTCAGGGGTCTTGCTTGGGAGGTCCGTGAGGTCCTGTTGGTGAGGGGGTGGGGCTATCTGAACCTTAACAATAAGGCCTTTCCCACCACCTAGCTACCTTTCACACATGCTTTGGGTCTCAGTTCAGTTTGGGGAACAAGTTGCCACTAAGCCAGTGGTTCTCACAGTGGGGCCCCACTGCCACCCTCCCTCAAGCAGTGTCATCAGTTAACTGGTCAGAAATGCAAATCTTCAGGTTGAGCCCAGACCCAAAGAATCAGAAACTCTAGGGGTTGTTTTTGAGATAGGGTCTTACTGTAGCCCCAGTTGACCTGGAACTTGCTATATAGACCAGACTGGCCTTGATCTTACAGATTCGCTTGCCTCTGCCACTAGAGTGCTAGGATTAAAGATGTGTGCCACCATGCCTGGCCTATTTGATTTTAAAAATTATTTGTGTGTGTGTGTGTGGTGGGGAGGCAAACATGCCACATTGTGCATGTGGAGATCAGAAGACAACTTATGGGAGCTGGTTCTCTCCTTCCACCACGTGAGTCCCAGGGATTAAATTCAGGTTGACAGGCTTAGAAGCAAGCACTGTTAACCACTGAGCCTTCTCAGCTCCCAAAAGCCCATTTAACAAACACTGCAGCCAATTCTGACCCCTGCACATGAGATCCACACCATTCTAAAGCCCAGGTCAGGTCCTGGACTTGATCTTCTCCCATTTTTTATGGTGTTGGGGATGGAGCCCAGGGTTATTCAAGCTGGACAAGTGCTCTACTGCTCAGCTCCACCTTGCAACCCTATTTGTTGCTCATTGATAGAATATGTGAATTGCAGAAGAGCCACAAGCCTCATTAGGAAAAGACATAAATCCCTTAAAGTGTCTAACTGGCCCTAAATTGGCAGCCTGGCCTTCCTCAAGCCTTATCAACTGGTCATGCCCTGGACTGAGACTGTTTATGGAGCCCACCTGTCTCCTTTAGTGCCATAGATAACTTGTTCACCTGCCTGAGAAAATCTTGGGAGAAGAGACCCTCAAGGACACCAGGCCCTGGCATGGTGTTAACTCTTGCAGCTATGTGCAGCAGAGTTCCTATAAGTCCAGACTGCTCCCCCTTTTCTTTGCAGATACTCATTTCACAAGGAAGAGCGTATCAGCCTTTGTTATGCTCCTTGAATAGAGGATCATATTCCTTGCCTGTTGCAGGTCTGGCTCTGACTCTTATTTCTAAACTTTAAATGCCTTCCTTTTTCTGCTTTCCTAAATCTAACACCCACTGTTGCATTTCAGCACCTAGTCCTATGCCCTGCAGTGTACTGTGCGGTGTGGTTAGAGAAGTGGGTTGATTACATGTTGACTGCCAGCTCATCATCTTGCCCCTGTTGGGGGGGCTGAGAACCTTTGAGAACTTGGGGAGACTGCAGAGCTCCCCTCCCTTGTCCTCGCCTTCTTAGTGGGTCCCCTCCCCAATGGAGAGCCTTCCCCTGACATCTGTTGAGCAGTAAGACATGTATTAGCAGGTTCTATGATATGGGGGCAGTGAGGCCCTGTAGGTTCTGTTACTTGAACCAGGGTAAGGAAGGATTTGAACCCAGGCTGGGTGACTAACACTAGCCTTGTCATCAATATCCAGGAAAAGAACATTCAGATAAGGCAGGAGGCAAGGTGGGCAGCCCCATAGTGGATGGAGGCTCTGCATGATAGAAGGCCTCAGGTGCCAGAATTCCCTAAATAGTTGAGGCTGACTTTGACCTCCTGATCCTCCTGTCTTCACCTCCCAGGTGCTAGGATTACAGTTATGCACCACCCTACCCAGACGATTACTCTTTAAAGCAACTCAGATGCTTCCAGAGGTCAGAGCCACTGAGTGGTACTGAGGGGCCAATTGAGGATGTAAATGGGACCAGGGGGCCTCAGTGTTAGGTTAATGCTGCTGCCTCTGCCATCTGTGGAGCATTCTGCTTTAAATTCAGGCTCCACCCTCAGCAGGCCCTTAACGTTGACCTTATTTTCTCTAAGGGCAGACCCCTCATGTTGGCCTCATTTTCCCTTCTCTGAGTCTTCACAGCCAGAGGGTGGATTTGCCTTGTTACATCTGTGCCTGGTGGGGTGGGGGTAGGGAAGTGGGGGTGGGGTGGCTGCTTGCTTGCCCACTGAAGGATTCTAGTAAGTTCCCCGTCCTCTCCCACATCGACTCCTCCCACTCCCCTGCCCTGCCCAGGTGGGCTGGGTGCTAGCTGGTTAAAACCCAGCAGCTGTTGGGCCACTTCGGTGCTGGTAGTCTTGCGATGGCTACCTCCAGCACTGTGAGTCTCCCTCCCTTCCTCCCTGTCTGCTTGTTCCAGAGCCAGTGACCAGCTGGGGTGACAAAAACATGGAGAGGGTCAGTCAGAGCCAGGGCTTACAGCTTGTCCTCATTCCTTTCTCTGATCAGACAGGCAAGGCGGAGGGTGGAAGGCAAAAGTGGAAGGGGAAGGAGGAGGAGAAAGAAGAGCCAGCAGAGGCAGCTGTGGGGGCTTCCCCAGGAGAGAAGACTGGTGATTCTCCAGGACCCTCCTCTCTGAAGAGGAAGGCCCACCAGGAGCGCCCTCTGGATTTGCACCCTCTGCAGTACAGGTAGGGAGGCCACTGGGACACAGTCCTGCTGTAGGGCCAGCCTCTGTTCTCCCTGGGCTTCCTGTGACCCATGAACCACCCCTTCCCCTCTGTGGCCTTAACGCAGTGGAGATTGGAAGTTTAGTAACCCCTCCTCCCCAGCCCATCAGAATAACTGACTTCAGGTATCCTGGAAGGGATTGTGCCTCAAATCTCACTTCCTAGTTTACCATCTTGTCAGCTCAGGCGCAGTAGGGGGTGGACATGTAGGGCCCCGGACTTCAGCTCTCTCCATTCCCCAGGTGGGCTCTCTGGTTCTTCAAGAATGACCGATCGCGGGCCTGGCAGGATAACCTGCACCTGGTCGCAAAGGTTAACACTGTGGAGGACTTCTGGGCGTGAGTATCTGCCCCCAGAGGGCTTGAGATGGGTGGGGATCAAGGCATCACTGCCTCCCACCTTCTCAGGGGCCTGTTAGCATTTGCTGACATTTGTGCGTTCGGGTGTGTGTGTGTGTGTGTGTGTGTGTGTGTGTGTGTGTGTGTGTCCTCGGATGCAGGAACCAGGTGGTGGGAAGGTAGATTTAGTCCCTGCAAAGCCTTAGCTTTCTGTGTGGGATGGGGTCTTTCTAGGATGTACAGTCATGTGAAGCTGGCCAGTAAGCTATCTTCCGGCTGTGACTATGCCCTATTCAAGGTAAGTTCTGCTCTTGTGTCTGCTCTCTGAAGGGGACTGATTCGAGGGCTTTCTTCTTGGATGATTGGAGGTGGGCAGTTAAAGGCTAGTCTCAAGGCAGGCTTGTGGTTCTGATTGCACAGAAGCCTGGACAAAGTGGCAGGCCTGAGCTGTGGGCAGAAGGATGCTTAAGTCTGGAGGGAGGAGAGCCTTAAAGATGGAGTCCAGGTTTCTGGCCTGGCTTGTATACCAGTTGTAAGCATCAGAATTGCCCGAGGAGGACATTCCTTATGTCCGGCCCCACCCTGGAGGTGCTATCAGCAATTAGAGATTTCCTCAGGTGACTGGCACCCAGTGAGTTTTTTTGGGGGGTGATATGTCGGGAAGCCTTGGGGTGTTTACCCTAGCCCACAGAAATGTCTGCCCTAGAGGCTCCCTGAAGCCCCCAAATCCAATTTGATTTTTTGTCTCAAAGAAGGTGGTTCATTAAAGGTGCCAAGCATACAGATAAAGACGTAAAAGGAGGCACAGTGAGGTTCAGAGGCTTGTGGGGCTTGGAAGGGGCCTGACTGGGAGGCTGAGTATTTGGTGGTGGCACCTACATGTGTGGAGGGAATGCAGGTAAGAGCGAAGCTGGCCTAATTAGGGCCTTGGGCACAGAGCAGATGAAGGCTGCATGCAGAGGGAACTTGGTGCCCACTTCCCTTTGAACAAAGGAAGGTAGTTGATGATCTGCCATCCCTCACAGGATGGCATCGAGCCCATGTGGGAAGACAACAGAAACAAGCGGGGTGGCCGCTGGCTGGTCAGTCTTGCCAAGCAGCAGCGCCACATTGAGCTGGACCGTCTGTGGCTGGAGACAGTGAGTGGTGGAGCCGAGAGGTGGGGAGGGGAAGAGACCCAGGCTGGTGTGGGCCTTTGGGAGGCAGTGGTCTCAAGACTATACCCAAGCTGGAGTTCTTACCACCCCCACTTTGGGCCCAGTTGCTGTGTCTGATTGGGGAGAGTTTTGAAGAATACAACAGGGAGGTATGTGGAGCTGTTGTCAACATCCGCACCAAAGGGGACAAGATTGCTGTGTGGACAAGCGAGGCGGAGAACCAGGCAGGAGTGCTGCACATTGGGTGAGGGCCCTCTCTACAGGGGGATTGGATGGCTGGGTGGGTAGTAGCTTGGCCTGTAAGTGAGACCTCTAGGACTCTCCACACTGGCTCTCCCTTCTTCCTTACCCACTCATATAAAAGGGGTAGGAATTTAGATCTGAAACTGTTTTTAACCTGAGAAGTCTTCATTTGCATTGAAGGGTCCTTCTCTGCAGAGGTAGATGTGGCTGGAATCAGGGGAGGTGTGTCAGCAAAGGACCTGGGCCTAGGCCATGTCCATGACCCCCAGCTGACTACCTATGTGGTATTTCCTCTGTCCCGTACTCCAGGCATGTATACAAAGAGCGCCTGGGCCTTTCCTCGAAGACCATCATTGGGTACCAGGCCCATGCAGATACTGCTGCCAAGAGCAATTCCTTAGCCAAGAACAAGTTTGTAGTGTGAAATAGACTTCAGCCACCTCTCTCCACTCACTGGAGTAGCATTCCTTGAGCCTTTTACTGCTGTTGGGTGTATAGGGGAGGCTGGGCTATACGATTGATCCAGGCAGGACTTGGAGACAAACAGCCTGTTTTTTTTTTTTTTTTTTACCTGTCTTGGAATATATATAAGCACCTTCCCCCATGCCCCCAGATAAAGCCTTACTATGTTGCCCAGTTTGGCTTGGTACTCATGGGCTCAAGCCATTCTCCATTACAGAAGTGTACTCCTGTGCCTGGCTTCATAATTTTAACATGAGATGGGTGCAGGACTAGTGGTAGCTGGCCAATACTTATAAACCACACTGAGACCCTAGCTCTGCTTGTGGCCACTGGACATAGGCAAAGTCTTGGCCTGCCAGATGAGGACAGGAGAATCCTGTGGTCCAACACTTCCTTTGTTCCTTCCCTGGGAAAGGGGCTAAGTGATCCTAGGCAGGCTCTTCTGTCTTAGGGTAAGGGCTCCAGATCACTGATACTGACATTGCAGAGATGGGAGCTCCTCTGGGAGCACAGCTGAAAACCTTTAAGGGCCTCACTGTTCATCAGATCTGAAGTTTGGGTGCCTATCCTATATCCTGCCCCTTCTCTAGACCAGCTGTGGCTGGATTCTAGTGTGGGGCTGCTCTCCCTACTCCCTATGCACCAAGGGCTAGAGTAAGTTAGAGGGAAAACACAGGCATTTGTATAAAGATGGGTGGAAACTGGGGACTGAGAAAGCCCTGCACAGCCTTATCTGAGGACAGGATGATAGGTCAGTGGTGTCTGTGTGTCTCTGGCCTTAGGGACAGACTGAAGTGGAGGGGGTGATAAGCCTTGGAGCCATTATTTTGTTAGAAGGGGTCCACTTGATCAATAAAGCTTAAGCCTTTTTTGGGAAACTATTCTAAATAAATACTTCTGAACAAACTTGGAGGGCTCTAAATATTTAAGATCCAGGCTCTCCTAAATTTGGATCTACCCTGTCTTGAAAAGGGCTCATGTGAGGATCCCAGGTACCAAGAACTCAGAGAGCTCCCATCTGCCAAGGCGTACACCACCACGCTGGCCCTAGCGCTGAATTTGTGGCGGTCTGATAATACTCCATTGTGCTTAGACGCATTACCCTTTTGGCCCACCTGCCCCATCAGCTCACTAGAGCTGCCAGTTTTCCCTAGGGATGGACTCCACTGGTTCAGCGCGTTAGATCTGGTGGCGGGGGGTCCTTCGTGTTTGGGGTCACCAGCGCCGCCAGCTGGCGCATCTTTAGAGTCTGGAGGGCTGTGGGAGCTCGGTGGACATGGCGGGGAATTCAGAGGTGGGCTTTCAAAAGGTTGAGGAGTCTGGCTGGGGAACAAGCCGGAGCCCGGCCCAGAGGCGGGACTTGGGGAAGACGGAGGCGGGCTGAGGCGGGGAGGAGGCCGGGCTTGAGAGGAGTCAGCCCAGCGGGGGCGGAGTCGGAGGAGGGGCTTGAAAGGAGTGAGGCCGGCGGGGGCGGTGTTTAGGGCGGGGCGGAGCAGGGGCGGAGCCCGAGCGCGGCTCTGAGGCCTGCGGGGGCGGAGCCCGAGGCGAGGAGGAGGTGGAGTCCGGCTTGGAGGCGGGGTTTGAGAGGCGTGGGGCCTGAGGGCGCGGAGCCCGACCCGGAGGCCTGAGGGCGCGGAGCCCGACCCGGAGGCCTGAGGGCGCGGTCTGGAGTGGGTCGGGGCGGAGTCTGGGGCGGAGAAAGGACTGATGCTGGCGGGGGCGGGGTTCTGAGAGGGCTGCAGACAGGTGGAGGCGGGGTCCGAGCTCCCTCGGGGTGGAGGCGGGGTCCGAGCTCCCTCGGGGTGGAGGCGGGGTCCGAGCTAGGGATCCGCGCTCCGGGCGTGGCGGTCCGGCCGCCAGGGGCGGTCCCAGCGGCGGGCTGGGCGGCCGGCGAGCTGTGTGGTCGCAGTCATGAAGGTGCAGCCAGCCGGCTAGGCCCGGGGCGGCTTCAGCCCAGAGCGGCCGGCGGAGGGCTGGGCCGGGTCCTCGGCTCCGGGTCCCAGGATCGGCGGGCAGCTGCTCACCATGCCCGGCAAGCATCAGCACTTCCAGGACCCCGAGATCGGCTGCTGCGGGAAATACTTCCTGTTTGGCTTCAACATTGTCTTCTGGGTGAGCGTGGGGTCTTGAAGACGCAGTTTATAGTGGGGGTGTTCCTCCCTGCTCAAGAGATTGTGGCTCGGAACTGTCCCCTGACCCCTCCACCTAGTCCCAAGAAGGACCCCAGGAAGCTACCCGAAGGCCCGGATTGCTGGGGGGCGGGACTCAGTCCTAGTGTCGGGTCGGGAGGCTCTGTGTAGCCCCGAGTTCCGGCGGAGAAGGGGCGGCATTTACCTAGGACTGCAGGGGTTCTGTAGTCGCGCTCTACCTGCTGTCCGCCCCGCCTCCTTGCTGCTCCTGCCCTGGGGTGTGGTGCGTGAGGTTACTGCTGTTGGGTCCTAGTCCTGGCCTACCTACCCTGTGGGTGCTTGGAGCCTGCTGGCCAGGAGGGGCTGCAGCTGAGGTCCCTGCTACTGCAGGGAGAGGGAACTCTGGTTGAGAGCCGGGAGCTGTCCCCTGGGAACATAATTCAACATTCCACAGCTCAGAGTCAAGGTTTCCGGTGGGGTTGCCTTTATTCTGAGAAGGGAGCTGTCACTGCCCCTCCCAGAGTGGCATCTGTGCCCTGACCATGCCAAGTCATCTTTCTCTTCTCCCTCCCCCATCCCATCGCCAAAGCTGCTGGCTCTGCAGGCTCTTCTTAATGCCAGGCCTTTTCACTTGTGTTCTGCAGGGATTCTAGTGGCTCTGCTCTCCACCCACGTGCTGGGTTTGCCCCAGTGGTGGGTGTCCTTGGACCTCATCAGTCCTCTGCTCTGGAGGGTGTGGGAAGCTGCAGGGAGTATTGTCAGTCTGAAGGCCTGGATATAGCAAGCCTTGCCCTGGAGTCTTTTGGGCAAGTCACCCTACCTCTCGGCCTCAGGTTTCTGGCCTGGGAGGGAATGGTACTGGAAGTTTGTCCTTCTGGGTTGTTAGATTAAATTAGGGTTTGTTGAGGCAAGGTTTCTGAAGCCTAGCCAAGTTTGGAACTTGCTATAATCCTGTCTGAGCTTCCTGACTGCTGGGATTACAGGTGTGATCCATCACACCCAGCTTCAGATTAAATGAGTTCTAATGAGGTGTATTCTCCCAACTACCTTATACAATATACAGATAGGTGAATCAAAGGAATAGGCTCTGAGAGGTTAGGTCATTTGCCTAGGTGATTGACTTGATCAATTAGTAATCAAGAAAATGTCCCCACAGACATGTCCACAGGCCAGTCTACTGGAGGCAATTCAATTAAGGCTTGCTATATATCAAGTTGACAACCAAGATTAGCCATCAGAGAGAGTGACAGGCAGTACCTGGAGATGGGGAGGGGACAGGGCCCTAGGTGGGATGACGGAGAGTGGAAAGGGTAAGGAAAATTCTGAAGGTTTCAGTTTGGGTCTAGACAGCCAAAGGAGAAACCTACAAACAGGCTCAGAGATTGTTTTAATGTTAAGCAGACCCTGGTGTTGCTTACTTGGAACCTTTTCACGGTGTCTGACTGCTCCTCAACTATGACTCACATTTCTTGCTGTGGTCTCCACTGCCCTGTGGCCTCTGGCCTTGCTATCCTTCAGTGATTATCACCACCAAATATGATGGGATCTTTGCCTTTGCTGGATGCTGTACCTGACTTTTCTTCTTCCTCCACTCCTCCTCGCCACTCAAACCCTAGCTGAAACCCACTGTCCTCTCCAGCCACCTGCTTGGATCTTATATTTCCTTTTGTATTTGTTTAACATTACCTCTATGCAGGGGTAAGCAACAACAGGGGCAGTCCTGTTCTCTACTGTGCTCCCAGTTCTCACAACAGGACCTAGGACACTGAGGTGTTTGAAACAGGAGGGTGGATGTGAGTGTCTGGAGCCAGAGAGATGCCACTGTCAAGTCAAGTTGGAAAGTGAGAACTTGGAAAATGATCTCAAACAAGAGGAAGGGTGGGAGGCTGAGGTTAGAACCCAAGGGAGGGGCTACAAAGATAGGGCAGAGGGAGGTTGAGTGTCCTGGGAAGGAGACTACAAAGAAATAGTGGGAGAAATGGGGTTGTACTGAGCAAGGAGGGATTTAGGAAAGACAAAGTGTTGGCTGGTCTCTTGTCCAAAGACTGGAGAGGGATCAGGTGGGATGAGTCTGATGAAGTGATGTTTGGTCCCCATACCCAGTGTCAGGAAGAAAGACCTTTCCAGAGAGAGTATAACAGTGGGTAGAACCCAGGACCAGGGGAAGGGAAGGGTGGTCAGGTGGGGTTCATAGTATCTCTCTACTCTAATGTGAATCTTCTTCAAAGACTGCATGTCTAGGAACTTGCCCAGGGTCAGGCAGGAGAGGGTGATAGCCTTGATGTTCAGGACTCCTCCCAATAAGGAACTGAGGCAGGATGATGAGAAGGATGAAGGTGGTATAGGGGACATGGGATGCCCAGAAAGAGTCTAGAGTTGGTATTTAGAAGACACAGGTAGAGCCAGGCATAGTGGTACAGACCATAGTGGTAATCCCTCTACTTGAGAGTTGGAGCATCAGGAGTTCAAGGTCATACTCAGCTATATGGTGAGTTGGAGGCCAGCCTGAACTACTTTGAAACCATGTCTAAAAACAACGCCGGGTGTGGTGGCACATACTTTTAATCCTAGCACTCAGGAGGCAGAGGTAGGCAGATTTCTGTGAGTTCAAGGCCAGCCTGGTCTATACAGTGAATTCCAGGCCAGCTAGGGCCATAGGGAGACCCTGTCTCAAAAGACCAAGAGCAAAACCAAACAAAGGCATTTGACCAGGTGTTTCCTAGGGCTAGGCTGGGGTGCCTCAGCAGACTTGGTTGAGAGTCCTTGCCATCAGGGGTCATTGGTTGTCAGCTGTGAAAGCTGATTCTGGCAGATGAAGATTCAGATGGCAGGATGTCCAGAACCCATGGAAAAGTGGAAAGACCTGACCTGTCCTCATGCATGCACACACAAATAGATTTTAAAAATTAAAAAAAGATGATAGGGTGTGAACTTGAGGGTGTAGCTCAATGGCTCAGCATGTTCAAGGCCCTGAGTTCCATCCTAGCACCACAAAAAAAGATGGGTGACCTGGAGGGTGCTGAGGGTAGGATGGCCAACACAGTGGCAGGAGGGCAGGAGGGCAGGGCTGGGGAAGCAGCAGAGAGCTGGGCATGTGGAACTCTGACTTAGGCTTGGGTGTGAACCCAGACTCAGTGAGCTGCTGTTGCTTCTAGGCTTAGTGTCTTAACCACTCTTGGCTACACTTGAAGGGGCTGCTGATGTCCATCCTGAGGCTTGGGGTGTCTTGGGACCACTGAATCCTGTTCGAGGTCCAGGCCCCTCTTCTCTCTCTGCTTCCCCTCAAGGACAGGGGTTCTGAATGAGAGTCCTGGTGCCAGTGCATAGTCCTGAGCTCTTGCTGCTTTTGCAGGTGCTGGGAGCCCTGTTCCTGGCCATTGGCCTCTGGGCCTGGGGTGAGAAGGTAAGACAGTGGGGCCGCCCAGGGCAAGGTGGTGGGAAGGTCACCCTCTCACAGCTGCTCTGTTCCCCCATGCTGCAGGGTGTCCTCTCCAACATCTCGGCGCTGACAGATCTAGGTGGTCTTGACCCTGTGTGGCTGTTTGTGGTGGTTGGGGGTGTCATGTCAGTGCTGGGCTTTGCTGGCTGCATTGGGGCTCTCCGGGAGAACACCTTCCTGCTCAAGTTTGTAAGTGCCTGTCTACCCAAGATCCAGTGGGGACCCCAACCGCTTTCCATCCACTTTTTGCAATATAGTCAGTGCCCAGTTATGGTGACCAAGACAAAGGACAGTTAAAACCGCACTGCCTTTTACCAACAGAAACAATGCTAAAGGGCAAGGAGCAAGCTCAGTGATAGAGCACTTGCCTAGTATGCACAGGGCCCTGGGTTCTACCTTGCTGAGCTGGGTGGGGCAGTACTCAGATAATAGAGGGTAGGGACTAGGGAACTGGGGATTTTGGTCTTCCTTGGTTCTTGGTAGAGGTAGTGGGGAGCTCTTCCCTGTGGTACCCCCAGAGCCCTGCATCTTCAGCGCCGACCATCTGTATGCCCCCAACCTAGTTCTCTGTATTCCTCGGCCTCATCTTCTTCCTGGAGCTGGCAACAGGGATCCTGGCCTTTGTCTTCAAAGACTGGATTCGAGACCAGCTCAATCTCTTCATCAACAACAATGTCAAGGCCTACCGGGATGACATTGACCTTCAGAACCTTATTGACTTTGCTCAGGAATATGTAAGTACGGTCTGTCATGGGCTGCATGTAGGAGATGGCTGATGGGCACATGAGAGAGGAGAGAGTAAGCAAGTGCTCTGTGTGCTAGGACCACTTCCTCACTCACCCAGGCATGCAGATGCCAGAGAAGGCATCGGAGAGAGCCCCTGTCACAGGAGAAGCCAGCTCCTGCTCATGCCCCTGGGCCCAGTCTTGTAGGGACACAGGCTTGTATAACAGTAGCTAAAGGAGGAAATGGGACATAAAATGCATGTTTCTCTTTCTGAGCCTGGGCCCAGAGTATCTGCTGGGGCTATGTTGCTTTACTGGAAGGGGTGTTCTGCCAATATCCCCAACATTTTGTACATTATTACATCTGCAACTCGTCTTCTTTCACTCATAGCATAGCCACTTAGGCTTAACATCAGGGCTGCTCTGAGAAATGCGTTGCTGGATGATTTTGTTCTTGTATAATCACCAGAGCAAAAGCCCAGTAACATCGGTACTATTAACCTCCAGGACATTGTGTACTGTCCATAATTGCAAGTGCTGCCCTTATATATGATCAGCAGCCCTGGATGTCTTTTTACACCAGTGTCACCATAAACATATGAGGGATGTGATGTACAATGACAGTGCCCACCTGCACACTGCTGTCCTCACACCCGCATAAGGCCATACCCAGTCATACCCAGTCACCCTTACATAGCCACATGCTCTGGTGTCATTACCACTAAGATTGCTCTAGGACTGGAGCTGGCACCTGTCTAGAGGAACTGTCCAGGGCAGAGGCTGTCATGCAACCTGGGCTTCCTTGTGGTTTGTTTCTCTATGCAACATGGAATTGGGATAAGCCTGCCATGTGCCAAGCCCTGGGTCAGGTGTAGGGAGGTTCAGGGATTTTTTATTTATTTGAGACAGAGTCTCGCTATGCAGCCCCGACTGGCCTGGAACTTGCTATGTAGACCTACTGTACCTACTGTAGGCTGACCTACTTCCAGAGATTCACCTGCTTCTGCTTCCTGAGTGAGACATTCAGTGATTTTAAAATGTGCTACCTGTCTTCTTAGTGATGGCAGTGTGGTGGGGAGATGATGATGAGCATGCAAAACAACTTCGTGCGTGTATGTGATTGTGGAAAGGGCTGAAATGTAGAAAGTAGAGGAGAGCAGCCTCTGCATGGTGACCTTGAAGCTTCCCCAAGGAGGGGAGGGAAGGAATGGTGGTGTGATGAACAGGATGATTTCCCTGCAGGACAGCAGGCACTGAACAGGTGATGGGGCAGATGCTGGCTCAGTTGTGTCTGAGATCCACACACAGCCACATTGTCACGCCTCGTGTCCTTGGCTCTGCTCATAGGGCCTGTGTCTGCCACTGAGCTGTCCCTTGCCCTCCCTGGAGTTTCCCCAGCCTCAAGGCCAGCTTTTCAGCAGCTGGTGCCGTTCACTTTTGGTTAGGGCTCTGTGCTGTCACATGCTACATTTCTAGATTGTGAATTCCTTGGTTCACTGAAGACTCAGGCTTGCCGTCTCTCCATCTGGGAAAGCCAGCAGCATGCTCTGAGGAGGACTGGGGCTACAACATGATGTCAGCAGGCATTTTGGAAGTGGACTGGGATGTCTGTGAGGGTGCAAGGGAGAGAAAGCTGGTCAGGATTCCTCCCCTGTCCCTGCACCAAACATTTTGCAGAATCTCTAGGGCAAGTCTGTAAGACCCAGTACAGACATGAGGTTCTGTAGTGCCTCTGTCCTACAGAGCGTGGCCTTGCTCCTGTCCCTCAGGAAGGTCCAGAGGAAGCCACAGTCTTGGAACCAGTGTCTCACCTTGCTGCCTCTTTTTCCAGCCTCTCAGGTTGGGGAAACCTGAGGGCCCCCTGCCCACTGTGATTCCTTTGACCATAGGCCCAGCCTGTGTACTGGGGAGTATGGGAGGTGCCCAATTCCTGACTCTTTAGGTTCTCTCCCAGCCAACCATCTCTGTTTTTGCCCCAAACAGGGTAAGTGAAGCTTAGGGGTGGGCATGGCTTTCAGCTGTGCCCCTTCTCATCTGGGACTCTATCCTCTCTCTAGTGGTCTTGCTGTGGAGCCCGAGGGCCCAATGACTGGAACCTCAATATCTACTTCAATTGCACTGATTTGAACCCAAGCCGGGAGCGCTGTGGGGTGCCCTTCTCCTGCTGTGTCAGGGATCCTGCGGTAAGTGGGCCCCTGGGAGGAGGCAGGATTCCTTAGCAATAGGAGGTCCATGCCAGTATTAGCAGCTGTGTGTTCTGGTGTCTGGGAGAGAGTTGAGGAGTCTTGGAGGTTTGCTGCAGATGGGTGGGCATGGCAGAACCCAAGCTTCTGTTAGCTTCCCTGCAAAGAAACATTGTAGTGTATATCCCCCAATGAGCCCACAGGTGCTCCCTCACCATATTGCTAATGGCCTTTTCCCTTCAGGAAGATGTCCTCAATACCCAGTGTGGCTATGATATCCGACTCAAACTGGTAAGAGGTGGGGACAGGGTTGAGGGTAGCCTGGGACACTGGGGAGGCATGGGGGCCTCCCATAAAGCTCCTGTGCAAGACCCAGGGCTTCTGTGGAGTGAATCTGGCCCAGGGTGGGTCTGGGGCCCAGTTGGACATGGGTTGCTCATTCCACATCTGTGGAGCACCCTGTTATGACAGGCATTGCTCTAGACCATGGAGATCCAGTACTAATGTGGCAGTCTGTGCTCTCCAAGACTGGATAGAGAAAAACAGTAAGTTCATAGATATATTAATATGGACAGTCATGAGAGTTTCCGTTGAGAACTTGGAAGGTTGATTGGCTAGGGTCTGGGTGCTCAGGGAAGGCCTTGTCAAAGGTAACATCCAGGCTGAGACCCCATGAGAAGGAGCCAGCTGTGCAAAACCCTGTGGCAGAATTCCAGGGAACAGGCACTGCAGGGGAGCGCCATGGAGTGGGGATGAGGTAGGCAAGGTGAAAGGGAAGAGGTGTAGGTCTGAGCTGAGGCCCACTGTGGCATTTGGGCTGATCCTGGTACCTCTGTGCCCTCAGGAGCTGGAGCAGCAGGGCTCTATCCACACAAAAGGCTGTGTGGGCCAGTTTGAGAAGTGGCTACAGGACAACCTGATTGTGGTGGCCGGGGTCTTGGTGGGCATTGCCCTCCTCCAGGTACAGCCAATAGCCCATACTCCCTCCCCTTGCCTGAGGCTTACTGCTCTTCCTCACCTGCCCTCTGCCTTACAGATATTTGGCATCTGCCTGGCCCAGAACCTCGTGAGTGACATCAAGGCAGTGAAGGCCAACTGGTGAGGCTTCCAGGGACCACGGCCACATGCCTGGCCTAATGGGCCTCTGGTGGGGGTCTCCTGGGACCCTCTGCTTCGCTCATGATGGCAAGGCCAGCAGGGCGGCTGCTATGACCTGAGCCCTGAGGCTTTGTGAGCGTGGTGCTTGTTGCTCCCTGAAGAAGCCACCTTGTTTCTTCTGGGGCTGCTACTCACAGAGGTCTGTGTGGAGGGGGTGCAAGAGCACCTGGAGCCACCTTCCCACTGCTGTGGGGTAGTGGCCCTTCCAGGGCACCAGGGAGATGTAGCCAGGTGAGGTGGGCAGTGCTGCTGTAAGGAGGTCCACCTGTGTCCCCTGGCCTCCCCTGGGACCTATCTGTGCATGGCTGTGTGGGGTTGGCTTGGGGGCCTGCTGTTTCAGAGCTTTCCTTACTAGCCATGACCTTGAGCCTGTCAGGAGCCCTTCTTGGCCTCAATGTCCCAGACTCTGAAATGAGTCCAAGAATTTTCTTTCTCGCTTGCCTCCCAGGATCACACATGGTGATGGCTACAAACTTCTCAATAAACAACACTTTGAAAACCCCTGGCTTATGCTCACCATCTTCGAAGGTTCTATCGGCAGTGCAGCCTCAACAGAGCTCTCCACTGAGGGCACTGGCCCGAACCCAACCTCCCAACAAGGCCTCATAGACCTGGGTAGTTTATGCACTTGAGACAGCCTCTGAAGTGAGTGTATTGCATTTAAGTCCAAATCTCCTGCTTCTTCTGAAGAATGACTGTCTGGCCACACCAGCTCTTCAGTGGCAGTGTCATCTAAAACAGGACACAGAGGCCCTGCCCGCTCTGTTCTCACCTAAGTGCCCAACCTCACCCCCAGGACCTGGGAGTTGGCCTTTCCCACCTCTGTGGATTATTCCCAGCAAATACCCTGAGGTTGCAGTGGCTCAGCCTCAAAGGCACAGAGATGAAGAATGGGGTACTGGAGATCACCCCTAAGAGCCTAGCCTGAGAGGGTCCTAGCCCTGCTGGGGAATGAGGTGGGTGTCAGAATGCCCACACTGAATGACAGGGGTGATGGCAGGATGATTATGCAAAGAAAGTACCTGGAAGCCCATGACTTGGTACCCATGAAGTAGAGAGCGTAGATGGATGCTTGGTTGCTTCTTGGGCTTGGAATGGAGTTCAAAAACTCTGTGGCCTACAGGGCTGCCTTATGGCCACCAGAGGGCATATCAGCACCACATTCTCTGCACATGGCTCTGTTCCCTGCTTCTCGAGGGTTACTTGGAAAACATCTAAAGAAGTGAGCCAGTTCTGGCTTGGCCAGTCTGACTGCTCAAAGAGGGTGTGTGTGGAATGACCCTGACCTAACCTGTGCTGGACCAAAGGAGGGTTGGAATAGTTCAGAGGTTGCAACTCTGGTGTCCTCAGTGAGTTATAGGAATGAGTGGAGTAGCAAGGCCTGCTTTATTTTGACTTGACCACTGTTACTGGAAACCAAAGACACGGTTGTATGAGGAGAAATTTATGTGTAATCAGATTATGGTAACTTGCTTCAGAATACAGTGGGGGTATGGTGAGGTCTGTGCCAAAACACAGATACCATCCGAAGGTGCCAACTGCTGTTATAGCTAACTGCTGTGATGTGGGAATGCAGGTCTGACAACAGAAGTCATGGAGAAACTTGGAATTCACAGTTGGTTGTAAGATAGCTGGATTTTTTTAACTGAAAAACTTAAGTCTGCAAGCTGCCCAAAGAGCCCATGGCTTTGGCTTTGTGTTAGTGTCACTCACAGGGGCCCTGACTGCTTAGCCATTTGGGGGTGCTGGGAGCTGCTGCCGGGTAGGTGGTGGGCACCCAGCAGCTTTTCTCCCTGGCATAGGCTGGACAAGGGACTCCTGACTGTGCTGGCTGTGGTGGTTTTGTACACTGCAATAAACACAGCTCAAAATGTGCTGTTTCTTTATTTCAAATGCTTTCATTTTCTCTCTCAAACCTCCCAACACCCTTGTGGATTGCAGTTTTTTTTTTTCTGATAAGGAAACAGACTGAGAGGAGAGGGAGGTTGTCTGGAGCACACACTGGTAGGAGGAAGCACACTGATCCCATCAACCCCTTGTGTTGGAGTTTGGTGTTACATATGTACTGCCCTCTTGATATGTCTGGTGAGATTTGTATACTAAACTGTCAGCCAATTAGGGGTGTAATTTTAGTTCCCCAAGGATGAGACCAGAATCTGCTTAGGTGCTAGTGACACAGAAAAAGCAAGGTCTCCACCCCGTGCTACCTTCTGAGGGAGACAGATGGAAAGGAGGCAGGCATTTTTGTTAGTAATATGGGCTGTGAAGAAGAGTGACAGCTGGAGAGCCTGGGAGGCAGGTTGGGAAGGATGCCTTCTCTGAGGAATAGTGATTGAGGTTTGAACCAGCTTCTCTAGGGTCTCCAAAGCCGTGATGGGCTTGGTGTGAGGGATCTGGGATGGCAGGAGATGTGGGAGTGGGCTGAGGAGTAGAGGGTATGGACACAGGAAGTGAAGGAGCCAGGATGTTTGGACCCAGGACTGATGAGGTGGGTAGGAGTGGTGACCCTGGCCAGGCCCAGAGCTTTCCAAAGCTCATTCTGCTTTGGCATCCGGGATCTCCATTCTTCTATCTGCTCATTCAGGTCATCCACCCACACATCCACTCACCTGTCTACCCATCCTTTTCTGCACTCATCACCACCCTACCATCACCCATACAGGAGCCCTAGCCAGAGGCTGAGGTGGCTCCCTGACCAGTTTCTTGGTAGAGGCATGCAGGGAGAAGTCGTTAGTGGAGGGTGTGCTGAGAAGCATGTGATGATCACTGTGCCAGCCTCTGACAAGACTACCTCAGGAAATCAAAAGAAGAAAGGTTTCTTTTGGCTCTAGTCAGGCCATCAATGCTTGGCTCTATCCTATGGGTCTGTGAAGAGGTGGAACATTGTGTTGGGGAGGGCATGGTGGAGCAGAGCTGCTCACCTCCTGGCAGCCAGAAAGCAAAAAGGAACGGACTTGGGATAAGGCATAACTCCAAGGACATGCTTTCAGGACCCACTCCCTCCAGCTAAGTCTATGCCCCCCCCATCCTTTCTGTTCTCATCACCTCCCATTAATTATGAATACATTAATGGGTTAATCTATTGACCAAGAGGATCCTCATGAGCCTGATATTTCCCACAAGTCTCACCTGCAAACAGTGCTGCCCAGGAACCAAACTTTTAACATATAAGGTTCTGTAAATGAAATTTCAAGTTCAAATCATAACTCAACTGCTAGATGTGCTTTAGGAGACCCACTTCCTGTTCCCGCAATAGAACACGGAGCAGTACTCTGCATCAAGGGTCTCTTATAGAAGTGCCTCTCCAGATAGGCAGAAAACACAAGGAAAACAGGCAAGGTTGCTGCCTGCCCATCCCAGGTGGGTCCCTGGGCAATGGAGAGCATAGCCTCCTTCCTGCCTTCCATTAGTATGGAATGTCAACCTGGATGTTCTCCAGAGCCCTGGACCTGACTGACCCTAGGAGAGTGTCATAGTTGCTTTCTATTGCTGTAATAAATCACACTAACCAAAACCAACTTGCGTAGAAAGGGTTTATTTGGCTTACACTTTGACATCACAGTTCACCGAGGGGCAAAGCCTCAAGCTGGAACCTAGCAAGAACTTGAAGCAGAGACCGTGGATGAAGGAATGTTGCTTACTGGCTTGCTCCCCCTGGCTTGATCAGCTCAGTTTTCTTATACAGCCCAGACCTACCAGGCCAGGGATGGCACTGCCCACACCCACAGTGGGCTGGATCCTCTTACATCAATTAATGATTAAGAAAATGCCTCACAGATATGCCCACAGGTCAGTCTGATAGAAAGCTTCAATTGAAATTCTTTCTTCCCAGGTGACTAGTTTGTGTCAAGTTGACAAAACTTGCACAGAGAGATATCATCTCCCCACCCGACTGGCTGGAGGACTTTCCAACACCTGACTACTCTGGGAGGGAGCTAGAGTGAAGACTTAGAGGTGGCAGAACCCAAGCTAACAAGCTTCTGCATCTCTGGTGAGGTGGACAAATGTGCTTTTAAGGAGTCCTAGGAGGCTAGGACTAGGAAGCATGTGCCTTGTGGCAGCTTCTCCAAATAAACACCAGAGGGCAGTAAAGTGCAACCCATGCCTCATAGCCACAGCCAGAAGTGGGTGGGGATGTGGGAGTTCACTGAGGAGTGATGCCTTTGGACAAGTAAGGCATGTCCACTATTCCAGAGACATAGGGGCCCATTCTACTGGTGCCAAGTCCAGGCCACCCTCTGTACCATGTTCAGATGCCCCCACAGAACTGGAGAAAGTGTAATAGCCACGGGGGTGTTCACTTTAGGAGGCTGAAGCAACAGGCTCCACATACACTTCCATTCCTTCTGCTAGGTTTGCTATGTGCTGACACTGTTTTAGACACTTTGAATATGTCAGGGGAAAGAAGGATCCTCTGTGTTTTCATGGAGCTGTCCAGACCTAGTATTCTAGTTTTGTTTCTTGTTGCTGTGATAAAACACTGACCAAACCAACTTGGGGAGGAAGGGTTTATTTCAGCTGACAACTCCCAGGTCACAGACCATCACTGAGAAAAGTCAGGGCAGGAACTCAGTCAGTTACCTGGAGGTAGGAACAGAAGCAGAAATCCTGGAGGAATACTGCTTACTGGTTGGCTTCCTTGGACTTGCTCAGCTACCTTCCTTATACAATCCAGGACCAGGGGTAGTACCACCCACAGTGGCCTGGGCCCCCTTACATCAATTAGCAATTAAGAAAATGCTTCACAGACATGGCTACAGGCTAATCTGACGGAGGTCGTTCCTCAATTGGGATTCCCTCTTCCCAGGTGTTTCAAGTTAACAACCAAAGCTAACTGACACCTGGGATGGGCAGACTTTGTATGTAAGGAGCCAAATATTCTGAGCCAGAGTCACATAGCCTTTCAGTTCTGCCTTCATGGCAGAAAGCAGCTTGAGACAGGATGTAAACAAGTACATGGCCAGGTTCCAGGGACATGATCTGCGGATGCTGAAACTAGAATTTGATTTTTTAATTTTCAGCTATCATAAATCATCACTCTTCTTTTGATTTTTCTACCATTAAAACAGAAAATTATTCTTAGTTCTGGAGCTGAGTTAAAACAGGCTGCAGGTTGGATTTGCCTCACAGGCTGGAGTTTTCTGACTCCTGGTCTAGGTAAGAAGGGGGAAAAGTACAGTGAGTATGGTTGCTAGGAACCAAACTGTGGGAGCCATTGATGTAGCTGGCACACGGGGTGCAGGGAAGGCCTTGGTATTGAATGGGGTGGTCAGGTCTGGGGTATGCTTGGTGGTTAAGCACTTGCCTAACAAACATGAGCCCTTGGGTTCCCTCCCCAGCACCAGCTTAAAAAATGAAAAAGAAATGGAGTGGTCCAAATCACTGAGAAAGCAACATGGAGCAAAGACCTTTCAATATCATTTTAAGGTTTCTTTTTGTCTTTTTGAGACAGGGTCTCCCTGTATCCCAGGTGGCCTGGAACTTGCTATGTAGACCAGGCTGGCCAGATCTCACAGATCTTCCTGCCTCCGCCTCCTGTGTGCTAGGATTAAAGGCATGTGCCACTACACCCAGCTCTACTAAGGTTTTTAAAAAAGATTTATTATTTTAATTTATGTGTATGCATGTGTATGGGTGCACATGTGTGTGGGTGTCCATGGAGGTCAGAAGAGGGCACTGGATCCCTTGGAGTTGGAGTTGTAGGCAGTTGTGAGAAGCTTGATGTGGGTGCTGAGAATCGAACTTGGGTCCTCTGGAAGAGCAGGCAGTGGTCTAAACCACTGAGCCATCTCTCTTGCTCCTTTCTAAAGTCTTTGAAATGTACATTATTCTCAGCTCTCATCACCCTGCTGTGCAGAACTTCTTGTTCTTGTCTAACTGTAACTTGGCACCATGGAGCAACATTTCCCATTGCCCTTCCCTGGCTCTGAGAACCAGCAGTCCTCTCTCAACATCCAGGAGGTCAACCTTAAGGTCCACACGTGAGCAAGACCATACAATGTGTATCTTTCTGACTTTGTCTTATTTCATGTAACATAATCATCTCCTGCTTCATCCATGTTGCTGCAAACAAAATGATATCATTCCATTCTTTCCCCTCTAGGTCAGCAAATATCCTAAATTTCATTTTTTTTTAGAATAGCATTCCCTTAGACTTTAAATCAGCTCTAGATTACTTATGATACCAAATATATGCAAATGCTATGTAAATAATAGTTGCTTTGCTTGGGTAATAATGAGAAGAAAAGTCTGCACAGGGCCAGTGCAATGGCTCAGTGGGTAAGGGTGCTTGCCACCAAGCACAGTGACCTGACTGCGATCCCATGAACCCACGCAGTAGAAGGGAAAAACCGATTCCTGCAAGTTGTACTCTGACCTCCACATATGCACTCCGAGGCATGCAAGCACCCCCATACCTCTCTCACACACGTAATAAATAAGTGTAAAAAGAAAAAGAAAAAAAGTGCAGGTTTAAGACAGATATAGTCATCGCAGGTCTGACTCTGCAGCACATGTCATCAACAGGGTAATATCGTTTCAGTATTTTTTAATCCATGGTTGGCTGAATTCTCGGATGCAGAACCCAAGAAGACAAGTGTACAGTGCCCACTGTAGATTCTTCCAGACACTCTAAATTTCACATTCATATTATGCCCCCCATAGAAAATGTTTAATATGGGGGTTGGAGAGATGGCTCAGCAGTTAAGAGCACTGGCTGCTCTTGCAGAGGACCTGGATTCAATTCCCAGCACCCACAGGGCAGTTAACAACTGTCCAGAACTCCAGTTCCAGTAAATATGATGCCCTCTTCTGACTTCTGCAGGCATGGGCACATTTACATACTTGCAAGCAATACACTCATACACATAAAAAAT